AGGTAAGGCTGCATTTGTAAATGCATCTGATAAGTAATGAAAAGTCACAGAAATTCCTGGAAAACTGGGGACCTTGAACACACACGTGCACTGAAGCTTGTTCTGACTTTGTCTCCTTCAGGAAATCGGCTGGTTTGATGACAGCAGAAATGCGGTGGGAGTTTTAACTACTAAACTGGCAACTGATGCGTCACTGGTCAAAGGGGTAAAAACTTTTTTTTAGTTCCCCGTTGGTATTTTGTTAAGTGTTTGTGAAAAATGTAACTGATGGAGGTGCCGTAATACCATAGCATGTGGATTCTGAAAAGACTTAGCTAGCACCTTTAGATGTTCATAAGGCTGAACAGTTTATCTATGTATTCAGGATTAGGCCAGAAAAACGTGGATTTGAAGCTGCAGTACCCCAGTGTGATATCATATCATGATTATTTGAAGTATTTGCTCTCAACATTGTGCTATTTATAAAACAACTGAAATGTACCTGAAATATACTACAGCCAAACACCACATAAACATGTTAGACTTCAAACTGCAGAAAGTACCGTCAAACCACTGACATCTTTTTGCTTTGTTTATCCAAATTATCAGTTTTTTTTAGAAATGTTACGGTTGTTGAGCTGTCCCTTTCTTCACCACCACTTCACTGCTTTTCACTTCTGTGATACACCAGAACAGTAACATGTATTATGCCCTGCTAATCACATTTAATAAATATAAGGATACATTAAACTTATACAGATTACTAACTTCTTGGCATCACAATACGCCTCTTGTTAGTATTTTAGGCATGCTACTAATCTGCTTATCAAATTGTGGGCATAAGCAAACACCCATATAGTACCAAAAAAACCAGCATCCGGACAAATTATTACATTCATTATCTAAAGCCTGTGCATGTATCATAATTATATCGAAATGTGATATCGCACAGTGTGATATTGTGCAGTGTGATATCGTGCAGTGTGATATTGTGCAGTGTGATATCGTGCAGTGTGATATCGTGCAGCCCAAATCTGCAGCCATTCCATTGAGCAGCTCTGTATCATTTGTGGCTGTTGGTGTTTTGGATTGACATGGATCTGGGTGACTTGACTTGCTATACATACACTGTGACTAATGGGATCCCTATACTGTCCTCCCTGTGCCTCTCTGCCAGGCAGCAGGATCCAGACTTGGCCTGGCTACGAACACCATATGTGGTCTGACCATCGCCATCGTCGTGGCCTTCATCTTCAGCTGGCAGCTCACACTCCTCATACTCGCCTGCGTGCCTATCCTCTCGGGGGCCAACTTCATACAGATGAGGGCCACTGGTGGCCATGCTTCCAAAGACCAGAAAGCCCTGGAACTTTCTGGAAAGGTAGGGCTCATATACAGTTAGTGGTGAATGAATGTTAAAGATGAATGTCAGAATGCCTGGGCGAGTATTGTTTTCTTCATATTAGAGTTCCTACAGCACCTTAAAAAGTCTTAAAAGGTCATAGTAATTGACCATAGTAAAAGGTCAAAGTAAGGTCATAAATTTGCTGTAGGAATTAAATTTGTAGATGATGCGTTTAAGGCTGATGGGCAAAATTGTCACGCACAGTGGCCAACCATAAAACATTCGTTAGCATGTATGTGTGATTAACTCATGTAGTCCTCTCATGTCCCTTATACTCAATCACAGAGCGTCCCAACGGTTAGTCTTAATAGGCATCTAATGACATCTAATGGCCTGGAAGTAGCACCAGTGAGAGCTACGAATAACCGACCACTTAAACAACAATAATGGTTTGTTTTAGGGCTTACCGCACTTACCAAATTCATGCCCAAAGTTCCTGAAAGCAGCTTGCTTGATGATTAATGTATAATGCCGGTCGATTGCCATCGGCAAAATATACCAAGGGTATAGCAGAACTGAAAATAAGTAAATAAAATGTTTTTTTGTATCAAAGAAATTGTTTCGGCACTTTTTGGCTCTTAAATTAGGTCAAAAAAAGGTCTTAAATAGCACCGAGATTGACTTTAAAAACAGTGCAGGAACTCCGCATGATATTTAATTTTATATGGTTAATTACCTTTTCTTTTCTGCAGATCTCCACAGAAACTGTTGAGAACTTCAGGACGGTTGTGTCTTTGTCACGAGAAGAAGTATTTTTACAGAAATTCAAAGATAGTTTGAGTTACCCATACAAGTAAAGTATCATTTTATTTAAATCACATATATCTCAACCAGTAACCATAACCCTGTGTATTAAGTTCATGTATGATGTATGATACACTGTTTCAGGTCTGCGCTACATAAAGCCCCCATCTATGGATTGACCTACGCCCTTGCCCAGGCAATTCCATACTTTGTCAACGCTGCGATTTTCCGTTTCGGCGCGTGGCTTATAGCGCATTGCTACACGCAGTACGAGAATGTTTTTCTGTAAGTCTTTCATTTACATAAAGGAAAAACTAAAGTGACATCAGTGGTGTCTTGCTTTACCTTATGGATGGTTCATGACTGGCTGTACTTGGTGTTCCCCCAGTGTGTTCTCCGTCATTGTCTTTGCTGCCATGAACATTGGACAGTCCTCCAGTTTTGCTCCAGATTTTGCGAAGGCAAAGGCATCTGCACAGCGAATATTAGCCTTGCTGGAGAGGAAGCCTGAGATCGACATTTACAGTGAGAAGGGCGACATGCCTGTAAGTTCTAGACCAGGACTCATGATTCCTTAGAATGTGACTGTTATCTTTATTGTACTCTTGTTTTATGCCCTTTGCTGGCTGGGATAAGCTCCAGGCCCCATCGTGATCCTGTACTGGATAAGCTTCAGGAAGATTCATGGATGGAAAAGACAATTATTGTGCAAAAATAATTAGACACAAATCTATGAGTTTGTCACTTGGATGATATATTCTTCACCCAGGTAAACTGCACGGGGAACATTGAGTTCCATGACGTCCAGTTCATGTACCCGACCAGGCGGAACGTGAAAGTGCTGCAAGGCCTGAATGTGTCTGTAAGCTCGGGCCAGACTCTGGCCCTGGTTGGTGGGAGTGGCTGTGGGAAAAGCACTTCTATACAGCTGCTGGAGCGTTTCTACGACGTCGCTTCTGGACACGTGGTGAGGCTGTGAAGAGCGCCTCTGGTCCTTTTCCCATCATGGTGCTTCTGGAGAAGTACTGGGGCCAGTTTGGCACGTCTACCACCTTAACACTGCTCCATAAATGTCATCTTCTGGCAGTTTCAGCTGTAGGAAACCCAATACGTAACACGCATGACCCTGTTCCTTTCCCTCTTTCAGTCTCTGGACGGGCACGACATCAAGACCCTGAACCTGGCCTGGCTGCGCTCTCAGCTGGGCCTGGTGTCTCAGGAGCCCATCCTGTTTGACTGCAGCATTGCTGAGAACATCCAGTATGGCGACAACAGCCGTCACGTCTCCCAGATGGAGATTGAGGAAGCGGCCAAGAGTGCCAATATCCATACCTTTATCCAGAGTCTTCCAGAGGTATGGATTTTATTCAGTGGGGAAAGTTATTTGGGTTCCTCAGTTTTGGCCATGTAACTGCATCCAGCTGCAAAAAATCTTTTATGGGTTATTGTCAAACGTTTTCGATAATCAGTTGAAGATGATCTGGGAAGGATAACCGGGGTCAGATCCTGGGGTCGGACACATGACACCTATATAAACAAGTGTATCATTTCGATCCGAAAAACAGAAAATCCATTCATGTACGGTTTAAACCTACAGATAATTAGGTTAATAATGGACGTAAATCTCATTTTAAAGACACAGAATAGAAAGTATGTTCTAGTTTCTGAGTTTATTGCAACCAATGTTAGACTCCATTTGAAAGTTAATAAAAATTGCAAGCATTTTTATATGCAAATTTGGTTGACAGACATACAGCACCAGGGTAGGGGACAAAGGTGCCCAGCTGTCTGGGGGGCAGAAGCAGAGGATTGCTATCGCCCGGGCACTAGTGCGTCACCCAAAGGTGTTGCTGCTGGACGAGGCCACCTCCGCACTGGACACCGAGAGCGAAAAGGTCAGACTCATTTACACATTTTGGAAGAATGCCCAGTGGTGTATTAAATGCATTAGTTTTATGGCACAAAATTTTTGTTGAGTAAACCAGCCATTAGCAGCCTCCTGAGATTTGAGAATCCCGCGTCTCACACAAACTTGCTGTCCGCTGGCCAGATCGTGCAGCAGGCTCTGGACAAGGCGCGGCTCGGTCGCACCTGTGTGGTCATCGCCCACCGTCTCTCCACCATCCAGAACGCAGACACCATCGCCGTCATCCAGAATGGAAGGGTGGTCGAACAAGGAACGCACAGCGAACTCATGCAGAGAGAGGGGGCCTATTACGCCCTAGTAAATGCCCAGGTGTCTCACTGAGGCGAATGTCTCTGCTGCTTCTCATTGCCCAGAAGTTAGCTGTGACCCAAATATTATAATGGATAACTTGCCAAAGTATTATTTATCGTTGTTTTAACCACTGAACGTGGGGTGCAGTACACAACATAGATATGTATTCTGACAGACTCTCCAGTGTAACGACGATAGGCTGATTTTGAAGGAATTACACACCAGTGAGAATGATGTACAAACAATAAGGTGTAATCGATAGCCATGCTCTGTACTGACTGGTGATTCTGAAACTTTCATTCAGACATAACTATCACACTGTAACATTAATGTATTCTGTTGCAATATCATGCATTATTTAAATTTGGAGTTGGAGTTTTACATGAGATATATGCCATTAATTTCCTTTGTGTGATTAAAAAAAAAACAATGAGGGGACAATTGGGACTTCATTACACAAATATTAAAGTGTGGGTCACTCACCAACTGCAGAATTTTTGCAAAGCAACATTAACTTTTTAGGTATATTATGTTATTTGTCACTGTGATTTGGTGATTTTTGTAACCATTGGTGGTGGCCTACTGGATCTAAGCTGAATCTTCAGAGCAGCAACAAGTCTGTGTCTGAATTTGCAAACTGGGCACTTCTATAAACCTTGCAGTTCTGTAGGAACCTCCAGAGTCTGCCCATGAGGATGTGGTTGATCTCCTTTGCCACACCACCAATAATGGAGTATCGATGGAGTACCAAGTCTCAGGCCACTGGAACCAAGATCAAGGAACATGGATCACCACGGTCACCAGACCAGTGGGGACCAACGCAATCCTCATAGGCAGCCTTGTCAGTGCCAGTGCTCAGATTGAAGTCATCAGTGACCAGTGGAGTGTCACCACGTGGGCATCTATCAACCATTAAGCAAAATTGCAAATATAAGCTCTCCTTCTCCGAGATATCATTGACTGCAGTTAAAGTATACACTGAGACAACAGCCAAGACAACCAGAGAGTGCAATCATCTCTCATAATACGCTCGTTGAAAGGAGTGACATCGGACACCATCGAGAGGAGCCAATCCTCCACAGCAACAGCTACTCCCAGAGTATGGCAGCCATCAGACCGATCAGACCAAAAGTAGGTATACCCACCTACAGAGATCTGGCCACTCCCCGGTCTGCGTACTTCAGAGAGTGCAGCCACTGAAATGCGGAGTTTACGAAGCTGCCCGGCAGCAAGGGAAGATGGCCATCCTGCCAGAGGATTTTAGTCTGTTACTTTACTCGAGTCAGTCCCGCTATGAAAATGGTAATTTGTGATTTTATGTCCTCTCTGTCTTTTTGCTGTGGTTTGTTTTGCATGGTATTTTTTATTGTTCTCATTATATATGTGTGACAGTATTATTTCCACCTGAGTTCTTGATTACCCCGCTTTCTATACTTTATCTTTCAGGCACCTTGAAATTCACACTTTTGGGTTTTTCTGGAAGTGTGTTGGGGCACGTAAAAATATCTGTAAACATGCTGCATTAAATTACGAACAGAATGTTAAATATGATCTAGCACATTTTATGTAGAATCAAGGCAGCAACTGGGTCCAGTAGGCCTAGGTTGTGGGAGGTAGGGATGAGATTTGTAGTTTGAGTGTGACGAAAAATGCATTTCTGACATAAATACCAAACATAATCCTGCTTGCATGGGTATAAAGGTTGTTTCGTAAGAACGTGTTCTCTGAAACTGGTTGTGTTTGTTTGATTCAAAGCACTTATTTGTTCCTGGAATATGCCATTAATTTAACCATGTGGGTAACACTTTACTTGAGAGGGCACAAATAATATACTTAAAGAACAATTCATGAATAACACGTTAAATACTGATCTCGTATTTGTTCATCATTAATGAATCAAGATGCATTTTTTTTCTCTCAAGTAGCGACTACATTTGCTCATGAGTTGTACTTCAGTAGTAACTTAGTTATTACTAAGTATTTGTGTCCTGCCAAGTAAGGTGTTATGTAAATAATACTGTGAGAAATACTATTCGTGTCTCTCTGAAGCTCACTTTTAAAATAATCAGTAAATGTGCGTAGTTATAATTGTTGTGCATGACCGAAAATTTGAGGCCGGTTTAATGCGTAGGCAAACTAACCCCATAAATAAAAACACCCCGTTCTTTGACAGCTTATTTGCCCTGGGTGCAGATGATGACGGGAAAAAATATACTAAATGAAGCCAGTTTCATTAATAATAATATATTCTCGGGATCTGTAGATACAGTATTCATGAATGAATTTACAAAACAGCACCCAATACGAACACATGAGGGCGTTATTTGTTCACAGGCAGATCTCCAGTGTAACCGTGGCGGTACACAGCGCCGGTCGCAGCCCATACGGAGCACCGATCAGCTATTTTTAGATTCTGTCTGGCTAATTAACCTCGTTAGGGAAATTTAATAAATATTGAACTGGATTTGTAAGTGTTGTAATCAAAGATCGAAGGACTTGAAAATGGGCTTTATTTAAACAGAACAGGAGCAACTCGTTTGTGGGTTGACAGTTTCAACTGAACAAAACCAATAATTCTCGGACTCAACACTAAGCATAAAAACTTAATGATTTTAATATGCCTTTATTATGCTTTTTCTCTAAATTCCCCAATGCAAAACCTTTTCACTGTTAACTCAAAAAAATCCATTCTAATGTTAAGATTTCAGAGTTGAAAGGAACTGATTTGTCAGGCATTAATTAAAAATAAGTTGAATGACACAAAGGCAATCAGTTGGTGAACAAAAAAGGGGTTTTATGTAACTGAACAGCGGCAGGGAAACAAACAAGACTGTAGGGGGTCAAAGCGAGAAAGCTAGTATGGGGAAGGACACAGGGACACCAGAGGAATGACATCAATGGCAAGACTAACGAGGACTTAAATACAAATATTAATGAGGGATAACAAGCAACAGGTGAGGCTCATCAGGGAAGAGGCAGAAGTGTGAAGGAGGACATCACAGTTACCCCTCCCCCCAGAAGCATGTCCTCCGGGGATGGAGGAAAGACAGGGGAGGGGACCAAGGGGACACTAAGGCAGAAACACAGGACTGATGACAGCCAGGACACTGAGGGCATAGCAGGACCAGCAGGGTACATGGGACAGAAGCTACACCATACCAGAGGGACAGAACCTCTGGACAGGACAGGAGGTACAGCACAATCATGGACACTTAACAGGCAAGGGCTGGGCCAGAGACCAAGAGATCAGCAGGAAAGAACAACACTGAAGAGAACCACATCAATGAAACAGACCAAACATGGGACAGGACCAGGTACCAGGGATGAAACGGTCAAACCAGATATCATCAGGGAGCAGAAGAGACAGAGACAGACAGAACAGGGCAGACAAGAAGAGGAACAACGGAGATAGAGACAGAAACACCAGAAGGGGTAGTAAGGCAAGACAGGGCAATGGGACAGGGACCAACGTGCAATAAGAGGAAGTGGGGAACATCCAGGGAGTCTTCCGGACCCTGGGGAGTTGGGCGGCGACCCTGGGATATGGACCTAAGGGCTTCAGAGGGCCAGTGAGACCGGAGGGTGCCATGAAGTCACCAGGGCCAGAGAAGGAGGGCACAGAGGGGCCAGCAGGGCTGGAGCAGGAGGGCACAGAGGGGCCGGCAGGGCTGGAGCAGGAGGGCACAGAGGGGCCGGCAGGGCTGGAGCAGGAGGGCACAGAGGGGCCGGCAGGGCTGGTAAATGGGAGTCTGCTTGGTTTGCCCAGATACCCTTATCCCATATCCCCGACCCCTGGAGATGGTCAGCCCCTCTTCTGGGCCCCAGCTAACAACGATGACTGCACCAGGACGTAAGATAGGGTTGGTGTGCAGGGGCCCAGAAGGTCCCACTCTGGAGGGGCATCTTCCGAGTCAAACCAACTCGGCCTGGCAGCAACCACAGAGTTTGGTATCAGCTTGGCTGCAACCTGCAGGGGGTGAGCAGGGCAAAGCCAGGACACCTGGCGCCACTCGGATTCCCAGCAGGACGGCAGGAGAGAGACAGCAGCCCACACAGCACAAAGTTGTGTTTTGGTTGGAGATGTGGTCTCACATAGAAAGGACGTAATCACAATGGCTTCCCTAGGGGTCGGCTCAGGTGACATCATTGCTATTGAACTTGGTACAGGCAACGTGGCCCCTATTGGGCCGATAGCTAGGGACTTGTGTGGGGCAGCCCTCTCTGGGCCAAGCCTGGCACACAGCCTCTGGGGGCACAGCAGAGGTGGGAACAGCCATTGGGGGTGCAGCAGGGGCAAGGATGGCCTCTGGGGGAGGAGCAGAGGGAAGGACGGGTAGAATAAGCCCCTGTGCACCAGACTCTGGAGGCACAGGATGAACAGCGGCCTCTTCTGGGCAGGACCATGGAGACTCGGGACAAGCAGAAGCCCCCCCCCGGGTAGAACTCTGGAGACACTGGGTCAGGCAACTTTCTCCACTTCTTCCTGCAGTGAGCTGAGGGGAAGCAGTGAGGAGAGCGACTTCACGTCACAGGGAAGTGACAAGCAGAGTGGCCTCACGTTATAGGGAAACAGTGAGCCAGTCCACCTCGGAAACATCGGGCTCCGGAGTGATCAGCATGGGCATGTCGTCCATTTTGTGGCGGTGAGCCTGGTGAGGTGACCCACACGCCGGGAGACTCATCCTCCTCTGGCTCCTCTACATCACTCTCAGTCAGCAGATCAATGAGGAGATTGCCCACAAACCATTGCAGAGAGGGAGGCTTGGCCACCAGGAGGAGGTTAGGGTTAGGGTAAGCGTACAGGCTGAGATGTGGGACGAAAGAGGCTCCCAGGGACACCCACCATCAATGGAGTCCAGTAATTCTGTCGTAACCAAAGACCAAAGGACTCGAAGGCAGGCGTCGGGAGAACAAAAAGGGACTTTATTTAAACAAAACAGGAGCAGGGAAACAAACAAGACAGCAAGGGATCAAACTGAGAAGACTAGTATGGGAGGGACATGGGCTGACAAAAGGAATGACCATCAATGACTGGACTGGGGCTGATGAGACAAACAGGTACTAAAATACTAATACTATCGAGGGGTAACCAGCAACAGGTGTGGCTCATGAGGGCCACGTCTGGGAGGAGACAGGAGGGTCGGGTGGACGTGGCAGGCAGGACATTACTGTACGCTTAACAGATACTTGCTGTGTTTTCTAGACGCATTGGTGAGTTGTTCTTTGTGTATATGTTTAATTATATAGCATATGGTCAGATTTTGAACATGGTGTTATTGTCAATAATAATAATAATAATAGATACTTTATTGATCCCAGTGGGGAAATTCTCTTTATGCCTCCCTGAACTTGTCTGTAGGTGTTTCGCTGTCCCTGTCCGGTTAAATAAAACCTCATTTTTGTTTGTCAGCTGATTACCTTTGTGTCCTTCATCCCGCCTGTCATGACAGTTATTCAACTTATTTTTAATCAATGCCTGACAAATCAGTTTAGTTCAACTCCGAGATCTTGACATTATGATGGATTTTTTGAGTTACCAGTGAAAAGGTTTTGCATTTGGGAGTTTAGAGAAAATGCATAATGAAGGCCCACTAAAAATCATTTTAAGTTTGTATGCTTAGTGAGCTCCAGAATTAAAACATTGAAGTTCTCATCACTTGTTGGGTTTGTTCTGTTGAAGGAGTTGCAGCCTCTTTGATTTTTCTTCAGTAAACATTTATGTGTTAGCAATCCATGCTAGGATAGAACATGTGAAAGTAGCTGGTGGATGGTCCAGACGTTTAGTAGACGAGGTCAGGAAGTGTTGTGTGCGTGTTGTTACACTGTGGGCAAGATTGCATCTGAGATGATGAACAAATCTCAGGACCATAATTAGAGCTTCTCTGGCATTGTGATGAATACCAGTGTCTTCATTGTTTCCTTACTCGGCTCGTCATCTGCCTTTGGCTCAGTGTTTTCCCTCAATCATCTCTTGGGCTGCCAGTTTAAAACCTTGTCTCATGGCCACAGGTGTGATGTGGACACAATATCGCAGGCATGTTACCCAGATGGATGCTGCACAATGATGGTGAATGGAAAACACTGTGAATGGGGAACACCAGCCCCTCGGCCAGTGGGCCTCTGTGGCCTGTAATTATTCTCATGCTTGTGACCTGTACTCTCATATATACCTGAAAACTTTTATATTTTGTGATATGGTGTTTTGTAAGAATTTAGAGAAATTTATCAAAATGCTTCGCTATACACTAGGCCTGTATAGTTTTATATACGTACAGAAAATTCAAAGGAAATTATGAAGTTTTTGGAAACATTGATAATCACAGAATTGTTTGTTCAGCCTGAGAACTTCTATTTTAGTATGAATTATACTCAGAATAACTGCAGTCCCTTCCATCCCCTGGGGCATTGCGCTTACCCCAGGCAGCATGAAGTAAAGGTACGCCCTGGATCGAATGTCAGTCTGTCGCATCGCACATACACGCTATACGCTACGCGAAGTCTCGCTACACAGTCGCGGCGAATTAATAGTCACATTTTAAAGTTCAAAAATGACACGAGCTTCATTTGTTATTGATAGCTTATCGACATTCACGAACGAACGATTTTGTGTTAGACATTTCCAAACAATATAGTATTATTTTATTTTGTACTGAGGATGATATTGTTTCCGCTTGAACCCACAGTCTTTATATCAGGAGTTTAATTACCCAAATTTAAACCGTCAAATTTCTAATAATAAAATATACGAGGACGGCTACTTAAGCGGACTGTACGCCTTGGGAGTTTGGGTCATTTTATAGATTTAAATTAAATTGGACTATTTTTAAATCATCCTGGCGTGTAAACGTGGTGCGATTAAACGTATTTAAATGCCAATGAAGCATAATTTAAATCCAAGTAAAATTAATTTAATACTATGAAAACACTATAAAATGCAAGAAAATTTGTTTTGCAATAGGCCTAAGTTTTTTTTTTGTTCAAACCACGTTTGTTGTAATTATTCTTATCATTCATTTACTATTTAGTTCGGGTAGATGGTCGCTTATTTGAAAACAGATTACAGTGTGAGTCTACAGTTAAATCCACTCCGACTTTATTACCCGGCTTCACCTGAAAAGCCGATGAAGTGTAATTGTCGCAGATTGCTATAACCGTCAGTGTACAATACGGACATGCTCACTTCAATGAAAAATGTGATTAAACACTCCATCAAATAAATTTGTTTTCAAAATCCTACAAATAAATTCAAAGTGCGTCTCTGACATATTTAAAGATACAACTTGTGGATTAATGTCACTGCCACAGAAATATACATATTTTTTCATTTGTTCTTGACAAAAAAAGAAAAGAAAAAACACTCCCATATATTTTCAGATATTTACTAGAAGCAATATACAACTAGAAAATACTATACAAAACGTATTTAGGACAAATACCTTACTCACCTTTACATAGGCATTGGGTAATGATATGCTACGCTACTCTACAACATATTCCGATTTCCGGGTTTGCAGCAACAGGTTTAATACGAATAGTTAAAAATGGACTTAATCGCACCAGTAGTTCGCATTAAATATATGGCCAGACTGTAATGTAGTTTTTCCTCAATAAAAACAATAATCATCATCTTTTCCACAATTCAAGAGCGTGGATGACAACAGAAGAGAAACAATGTAATATCACTGCGGTATGTCCGGCTAAAACAGACAGTGTTAAAACGACGAAACTATCAGTCTTCAAGAATAAAGTGCCACAGTTTTTTTTTTTAATTAAATATATACATTGGAAATTGTAGAGATTTGCTGGCCACGATTTCTTTATTAAGAGGCGCTCATTTGTCAGTGTAGTTTTGTATAATAGATGCTTCCCCAGCAATTAATTATTATTATTATTATTATTACTACCACCATCAAAATGCGGTGTATAATTAAAACATTATATATCTTAGTTGAATGTCCTTACCAACAATTAACATTGCACCAATTAACTTAAACTGGATTTAACGTTCAGTTCCATGAACTGGGGCAAAATAAATACAGATGTTGATCAGTGTCTACATTTTCGAGTCTTTTCGCCTATAGCCTCTGTAGTTCTGCAGTGAGCGATGTCCTGCTCATTCAATGACATTAGTGTGGCCATTTATACCCGTCGTTTGTACGGAGTCCGGAGGCTGCAACAGGTCTGGGGAGTTACACGGGGGGCTACCAGGTGCACTGTGCTCGCTGTCTGTATCGCTTCCTCTCTTCCCTCCGCTGCCGCTGGAGCCTGACCCTGCAGATCCCCCGGCACTGTGAGTTTTTACGTGTTTACTAAGGTGGTCGCTGCGCATAAACCGCTTATTGCACACCGGACATGCAAATCTTTTCTCACCGGTATGCGTGCGCAAATGTCGCTGCAGCTCGTCGGATCGCGTGAACCTCTTGCCACAAAACAGCCAATTGCACACGAAAGGTCTCTCTCCAGTATGCCATCGCAGGTGTGCCTTGAGATGCGAAGTTTTACCGTACACTTTTCCGCAGCCCGGGATATGACAGCTGTGAAGCCCTTTCCTACGCAGACTGGCTCCGGCTGGTCCTAGTCTCTCTGCCTCCTGGCAGTTAGGGCAGTCGCAGGTGGCTCTGCCTGAATACCGCCGGGATGACGACCGAGGGGATCCTGCTAAAGATGCCGCTGGCCCTCCGGCCAGCATGGTCCCGCCCGCCCCTGCTAAAGGAGAAGGGCTAGAGTCTGGGTAGGATGATAGCACGGGCTTGAACCCGTCCATCAAGTGTTGACCGGCGGTCAGAAGGTGAGGAGAAGCGCTAGAACTAAAAGCCGAGTGGCTCAGACCGGAATAATCTGAACTGTAGCCTCCCAAGGGAGAGTGCAACGACGTCTGAAGTCCCCCGGAATGCAACGATGTCTGCAATGCGGCTCCATTTGGGTTCTGGACATCAATCCAGCCAGCTCCCACGTCCCACCACGCAGGAGTGGCGGGGGTACCAACATCCCCTGTAGGTATGCCAGGGTGAGAAGATTTAAACCACGACTCATAAGGATGTGCGACGCTCATTCTCGGATAGATACCCTGTAAACTGTCCACTGATGTATGCACTTTGGAAATGAACACCGGTTGGTGGCTGGGATCTTGGGACGTGTTGGACACAGAAGCTTGGAAAACCGAGTAGTCGTTTCCGAAGTGTGAATTAGAAGAATTGCCAGACGTCAAGGAAAAGGCACTTGATCCCGTGGAGCCGTTTGTCCCAAAGGATTCCGATAGTCCTGTCCCGTTTCTGGAAACTCCAGATACGCCGAAACTCGTGAGGCTGGACCCGACGTTGCAGCTACTAGCGGTGGCTCTTTTCCAAGGGTGGAAACCTTTACCAAAAGATGATGTATTATCCGATATAGAAGAAGGTGAGGGACTCGGGCTTCCGATCTTGTTGCAGGTAGCCGCTAGCATGGCTAAAGGAGTCGATCCTAATCTCGGCTCCTCCTAGAAAGAGATTTTAAAAAGAATTACTAAATGAGCAAACACGATAACCTTCTCGTTTTTAAATATATCCCCATATAGAGTTTTAAATATGCAATTGTACTATCCTACAGCATAGTAGCCTACAATTGGTGCCGTTTAAGATCAGCATAGAACAACTCACTGGGTATATTTCGTAAAACTAACACCTTCACTCGGTTTACATCACATTATATATTTTGCGTGCGAATGACGTACCTTTAGACCGCGATGAACAAGAAACGCAAAAGTTAAATTGGTACAGCTTTAAGAGGATTATACAATGAAATAACATAAACGTCCTGGGTGCATCTGCAGATAGATGACAGAAAGTGCAAATCCTGTTTCTTTCTGATGAAAGTACTCAGCTTTTTTCCTTGACCAACTTGCTAAAAACATAACCAACGGACTGACTTTCCCACTCGTACCAAAGCAATTTTAATCCTTTCCGCAGGACAATTAAACAACTAATTTAACCGGCAAGAAAATCCTTAGACTCACCCCTAGAAGTGAAGTTGCCATCACAAAAAAGCGCCCTCCTCAGAGGATCTTTTTATATTTATAAATCAGAGCACTGTTTTTTTAGAGGTGTGCAATACAATGATGTATTCCGCCCATTTCACCACAATTGTAGGTCCTCTCCGACTTTGAAGTGCCGCTGGGACGCAGCCGGCCAATCAGAGCACCGGCACCTCCAGCATTCCACATTCTAACGTGAGGTCATCAATAGACTACTTCAGGCTCCACTCCCCCTCACCCACGCTTCCGCAGTGAAAGAAAAAAAACGGAAACGATAACGTTATAATGTGGACGTAATAATAAAAAGATGATAACTACCAGAGTATAAACCCTAGCAATTATGGTCATATTGACCGTAGTCCTTGTTTTATGTCCATCTGCGACACTCGGTGCAGGAATTAAAGTTTCCAGCAGCTGAAAAAAAAGTCGGCAGGAAAAGTTTAAAAGGTATAAGTACATTAAAGGAATGTACACATTAACATATTATTATTCAGGTATTTTACAACGTTTTCAGATTATTAGTTTGGCTACTCTTTTAAAATAATTCTTAAGGAAAAATGCCGAAAACAAAGAAATTAAGAATGTTTTGTTTTCCGACATACGAACAAGTTTTATTAGAAGCTGACTGTGCTGCATTTTCGCCACAAATTTGAGCAACTTATTTATAATATAGGTCTACAGTCTATATTGTATATACTGAGCTGTAGCAACTAGTGCGTGTTTATTTGCGCTTGCTGCTGAATGATTTAGGCATGTTGAGAGGGCGTATCTGCCCGACCCTGGGGTGCAGAGAGGGTTAGGGTTAGAACGAGCAATGTGTCCCCAATATAACCGTTTGTTTCATGCGGAACATTATCTCCGACAGCTTTTTTATTATGAATTAAATTATTAAAATATATGTAATTTAAACATACATTTTGAGTTAAACCTTGAATTTCTACGCACTTGGATTTTTTAATGCGAATGCAGAGTTTTCATAGATGCAAAATGATATGCAAGCATATGTTTGTATACATTTGACATAATCCGTCCTATATTTTACTTGACCGCTGGTATGTTGTTCCAGTAATGTTTGATTCCATTAGCATGCAGTGTGCACGGACTGCATGAATTTAATTTGAATTTCAAATTTAATAAAGCCCGTGGTTTTAATCATTTGCAATTTTATTTGTTTGGTATTAATATGCTTATTGACCGAGTCTGTTGACCAGCTTGGCCATCGCAGGACAAGGAAAAGTTAATTAAAGCGACCACGGAATATTCATCATATCATCTGCATAGCCTGTACCTTCTATACTTTATTACACACTATGATGGATGGGCAGACAGGTTATTCTCCTTGTTTCTTCAAGTCTCTTGTTTCGACAATAGATCTTGGGAAAATACACGATGAAAAGTCAACCCACACCGTGCCCAAATTTTGCAAAATAAAGAAGTCGAGATGATAACAGCGACTGTACAGAACTTGATACATATAAACACGTATTGCTTATTTGATTATGTATTATTATTATTATTGATGGTTTTCTTGTACATAATTTATAACTTACAATACCAGTACATATATATTTTATATATTTTGTATTGTGCATTTCTTTATCACTTTGTCACTCATACTTTGCCATTGTTATCAACCAACTTATATTTTTCCAGTATTATTGTACCTATTAGTAATATATATTTTATAGTTTATAACACCCCCGTAAGTCACATCACCGCAAACCTATGGAATTGTAAATTGGAATGCCCTTGTCTTCGAAATCTGTCTTATGAAAATATTTTGTTTTTACAATACGGTTTTTTACATGAACTTTTCCATAGCATACGCCATTCGGAAAACATAATACGATTTTATATTCAAAATTGTGTGAAGTGTAAATGTCAATCCGCAGTTGAATCTCTCTGTTGATCTATAATGTCTTGATAATGTAGCTTAAAGCAGTTGCATTAAAGTGTACCTAACTTCTTTAAAGTTTACCCCTGCATCACAAGATTATTAGCAGCAAAAGAAAAAAAAACATACTGGTAACAGGCGGTCGGCATAAATGTGTGTAGTGGCTATGTTTTCGTGATTATTTCATGCATATATACGTACCGTATTGTCTGATAAGCATTACCGGGAAAGTTTCACCACGTCCAGAAGAGAAAGTAGATTGCTTCAACAATCTATCAAAAATGCAGGAGAGACTTATAAGACAACAAAATATGAAAAAGAGAAAAAAATACGGGAGTACGTATATTACCATGGGAAATGGGAGTAACCGAGAAGACAGTCATTCAGCACCATCTTAATCAGATTATATGTTCCGCACCGGTTTAGCAACGCGCGAAGCGAAGGAGGTGGTCATTTACCTATAAATCCACCGGTCCGTTGTCATCGTGCCGTGCGCTTAGAGAGACCCTTGCCGCTACATTCTTCTGTTTGTTAAACATGCATCTTATTCCACTATAGAAGCTGCGGGGATTCTATATATAATGTATATACGGCCAGAAAAAGTCTTAGACGTGTCTGACATAGTTACCTTTGAGGTTTACCTGAAGACAATTAAGGCTATTCACTTTAACGTGCAATGTCGCTTAAGTACTCATTCCCATTTTGCAAATATATTAGACAATTTCAACAGACACAATTTATTTCAAAGACCGGTTTCGCGACAAAAATATATGTACATATGTATACACACCCCTCACTATATTTTTGTTTGCATTTTGAAATCTGAGCAAACTCCCAGTGTAATAAATATTCCAAATTCAAAAGGTGGCGCCCGGGTCGTGCTTTTCATTCTGGCCTAACTGTAAAGCATAGAACAGATGTCACAATTTAAAGCTGTCTTCCCACACGCATGGCCTACATTGCCGTCGTGAAATCAATCTTAAAACCTCTTCTACTTGTTACAATAAATAAAGGGGTTATTCAGCACCACTAAGCAGGAACAAAATGAGTTTAATATCGCGTGCTTTCGAGTAATCCTCCCCAGAGTAAAGGAAAGAAACTGCACCATGAAATTGATCGGGAAGATATAAGCTACGTGTGTCCGTGCGTGCGCGTTTGCGTGTATGTGCGCGTGAATTTTATGTAATTTAGCGTCAAAATGCCTTCTGAAACGTAAACTGCGTGTAATTAACTGCCACCACAATTAGCTGAGTAACGTGGAGAAATTAGATTGCCCACTGTACCATGAAATAATGCGGATCGTTGTATAAGAAGAATAGAAAGCAGTAGTTCTGCGTTCCTACCATACGGCACGCGACATACATAGGCTTAAAATTCTGCGGGCGGGAATATATCTGCTGCTATATATTGAGTTGAAGAAATCATGGAAGACATTTATATTAACACAGAGTGTTACATCAGGCACTTTGTGAGATCACATGGAACAGTAATTTTAAAATATTCCAGATTACAGCATGTAACAGTGTTTAGGCCTACAGTTTAACAGATTAATCTAAAATACAATGCAGCTGATGTAGAGTTGCAGGAAATGTGAGTAATTTTATGTATGTTTAATATACTTAAGCACCTAAGTTAATATGCTGGACTTAAAGATACAATAATCCGTTTAAGTGCGCTATTTTTTAAATGTGTAGGACGTTCCAGAGCACAGCATTTACATGTGACCGAGTTTATCTGTAAGCAAAAGCTTCGTCGTTTCTCCACTTAATCAGAAAGGGCCAAGTCATGTGTTTGTATTCAGACTAGAATGATAGCAGAATGATAGAGATTTTATATAGGTCTAATAAGTTTTATAAAATACGTTTTTGGAGTAACTGGTTTAAATTTATTGTAAAATTTTCTCGTATATTGAAAATTCATAGTTATTTGTTTCACAAAATACCTATAAAATCTTGATGCACAGCTAGTTAATTAAGTTCCTATAATTATGTTTCACAGACGAAAATATTATAAATTGAGCAAAGTAGGCTATTTGGAAGTTTATGGAATAATTTCATATAGGCCTAACAGTAATTTATTGCTTCATAGTTACTTGTACAGTGACTTACCTGATAACATTTTGTCTGTTTCTGTCATTATTACTTAACAGATGTCCAGTCGCTCCCTGGGGTCAGTGCTATCTGTCAGCCTAAATGATTGCCCTATAGTCTCTATTGTACAAATGTTTCTCCATGTGCAAGCTGGTCAGGAATCAGCCCCGAAACGCTGAAGTACTGGTCTCACAGTAGATCATCCGCAGCCAGTCTTGACTGCGTGAGCAAAACAGTCTGTCACATTATATAAAAAAATCATATTCTATCTAATAATTCCAACTAATCGTGGGAGCGCGTAATATGAAAGACAGCGCAGTGAGCAACAATTCTAAATCATAGTTAAACTTAATACATCGTCTCCTTTAGTCACACCCATCCAGTTGGATAAGACTCTGACCAGTGATTCAGTGTTGTTGCATTCATTTTCTCCCCAAAATGGAGAGTTGAAATTTGTATAGTGTATAGAATGGGATTAATTACGATACATACGATACATTCCTAAGAAAAATCATCAGTTCCAGGGATTTGTTTCTATCAGAACTAACTTTGAACTGATGGACAGTCAATCCTGATTTATTTGGTTGTCGTTTTTGTGAATCATGTATATAATATTAGGTATAAAGCAGACTTTTATGTTTTCTGTGAAAAAAAAGACATGGTTTGATTTTTTTATTATGGTTTACAAAAACACAAATGCCACGTGACAGTGACAATTTTTACTTCCACAATCAATATATCGTATGGACAAATTACCCAAAGTTTACTAGCCCCATGGTAAGAAAAGCTACATTTTCCAGACTGCAACCAAAATTTTGCGCTGTGAAACGCTTCACGTGGGTAGAGCAGGTGCTCACTGTCCTACACATATCACAGGGTCATTCACTGGTAGAGGCGGTGTATGTTATTTTTAAAATTATACAGGCTGAGTGACGTTTGGTCCAGGAAGGTTAATTTAGCTGCTTGGGTTTTACTGCGCCAGAGTGCAGGACTTCCAGCACAGCAAGCAGGGCGGTTGGATGCGGCGGTGTGCTTGTGCCGCAGTTCTGTCCGTTCACCGGGAGGTCGGAGGTAGCAGATGTCCGTCTGTGGAGCGAAGTGTGAGCGGAGCCAGTAGAGGTAGCACCACAGACACGGGGGCCCAAATGGTGTGACAAAGGATGTGCAGGAAGCGTCTCTCTGCCTGGCTGAGCCCCGCGAGGGCTGCTGGTCTGCCA